ACGTACATGTACACGTACACGCACATGCACATGCACACGCACATGCACATGCACACGCACATGCACATGCCCAATGTGATGACGCGCCCACACAATCTACGTATCAGAAATGTAACCTGAAAGAGGCGGACGGTAACAACGGATATATCTAGGCTGCTCACGTCTGAATCTGGTAGATTGTTACGCGCTTTTATAGTTGCTGTAGAAACGTATTAGCGTAATGGCAAAATAGCTTTTATAATAAATTGGAAGGTGATATTGGCCCATGCCATGCACAAGTATATGATGCTAGTGGTAAAGAAAGCGCTTAAATCGTGAATTTGAATAGATGAGTGGTAGATGGCTAGTCTTTGCTTAGTTAATCCTATGCTGATATAACCTTTTACATTAAAATGATCATACCTTTATTATTTTTACAAGCAGATGGAACGTAAGCATATCCTGTGGTGTCCATTGCGTAGGCGGCAGGTGGCGACACGCGAAAGTATTCGCTTTGGTTGAATTCGATAAACTGGCAAAGTAGAACCAAAGATGCACATGTCCGTACTACTAATCATGCATTCATGGATAGCAAATTTATTATATAATATGTGAGAAGCATTGTAATCGTTCACGTTTGTGTGGGTATACGTACGTTTCCATGAAGCTCTGTGTCTTCATTTGGCCTCTAAAGATGAAAAAAATAGAAAGAAATGTTGAGTTTAATGATGATAATCCGCTTACTCATTAACCTTTATTGTCCCACTCAGAATGTAGAACGGAATAATTAAGCATCATATTCTCAAAATGGCACATATCAGGTTGTCTAGCCCATAGTACATAGTTTGATATTTACACTAATAGATAACTTTGTCAATAAATATATACGAGGTTCACGAGGGCAGCATTTTACTTGCGATAGACTTGTAACATCGACTAGATTTTACACGTTGCGGATATGTTTTTTTTAAACGTCAGCCAATAACATACATGTCTAATTTTCGCGGCAAACCCCTACCTGAAGATTTCCGTATATATGGTTCAGAAGCTCGAACGCCGCATAATAACCACAACTGCCTATAGATGGCGCCACGGATAGCTTGCAGGCGATTCCGTAGTTCTCTGTAGGCTGCACGGAAGCAGTGCGCAAACATATGTAATCGACATATTTCACAAGACAACGAGTATAGAATCGGTGTAACGATATTGTAAAGTAACGCACGCATCAATTAAAAAGAAAATCTAGTTTCATTTTACTCTTTAGCGTAATCGGCATAGATATAAAAAGACGCTGTACGTGTTTTTCATGGTCGATGATAGAGATATACGTCGACTAAAGATCTGTTCGTTGTTAATAATGTTTCTGCTACACCTCTAGCCGCAGCAGCGAGCCGAAGTTAGATAGTATATCCCTCAATATCTATCGATGGTTTGTCATTCACGTGTTTATAATTTAGTGGTTATATCAGCATCAAACCGAAGAACAAGAAAGCATATATATATTATATTGTTATAAATGACGATGGTTTGAGTGATGATAGATAGCTCTTACAAAAGTATGTCCGGCGGTCATGTCAAACACTGCCTTGATATTGCTGTCGTTGACGTACTTCCGGTAGTAGGCTTCCGTCTTTGCCGACACGCCTGTAACCCCACGTTAAAGCATGAATTATAATAATATACTATTAACTACAACCAGCTAGTGCTACCAGTACTACTATTTCTATAGATTACATTACGATATTTTACGATTACCCCCAACCACAGATGGCCTATTACATCACAAAAGATTGCTGTACTCATGCATCTACGCATTTTATCGTAGTTATTTACGTTGAGTTGAATGTATTAGAGCGAGAAGAGGAGGTATGTAGGCCTATGTATGTAGGGAGATATATATAAGTATGTAGAGAGAGATATATATGTATGTAAGGTACATGGGCGAACCACCGTGAGAGGTAGGTATATAGGTATCTATGTAGAGGTACCTGGATGAACCACAGTAAGAGGTAAGTATATAGGTATGTATGTAGAGGTACATGGATGAACGACCGTGAGAGGTAGGTATATAGGTATGTCAAAATCTAAAAAAACTTTCAAAGAAACTAAAAACTAAAACTAAAATTTAGCTAACTAACTAAAAACTAAGAAAACTAAAAGAAAATTGCCCCGTTTAATTTTGCCATTTTTTTAACTACGATAAAATTACACGATCTTTAATTCGTTTTACAAATACTCCAAAAAACGAACTAAAAACTAACCATTTAACACAGCAACACGACTAAACGTTTCAAACAACACACCGTCTCAAACGCCGTGTTAAGCGACAGAATCTTATTTACGCGTTTCCTGTAATTTTCGCACACGACTAATCAAGGTCCACAACACCTCCCCGCTCTCAAAGCCTCTACCCTCGTAACAATTACTGGCTGTCACACGCCACGTAAGTCGTTTAATACCCTGTCACCATCGCCTGGTTTTACGTTATCTCGGAGAGCATCTCACGATGGTAATATAGGGCCTGACTGTGTGATAGCACAGCCTTATCACAGGTTTAAGTGAGCATGCCACATCAGCGCTCTTGTGGTTTTTTTTTCCAACTGAGGGTTTTGACTGTGTGTGATCGATCAGAAGACGAGTTGAGATATTATATATATAACGTTTTAAGTTGGCGTTTCATTACTCATTTTAAGGCCACCCTAGTCGGTGTTGACTGTGTGTGACTGATCAGAAGCGCTAAGTGTGATTTATTCATCAGCACGCTATAGTGGGATTTTTTTCTCGTTTTAACTTACGGGGGTGTTTAGGTGTGTATTCATGGTCTATTGCAATGTTACGACTGATTATCATGCCTTATATTTGAATGTTACGCTGCTGTTCATGCTATGCTTGGCAATGTTATGCTGCTGTAATCATGTGCTATACTGGTACTTGCATGTTACGCTGTGTA